GTATGACCCCACTTATAGGTGGAAGTTAGCATATAGACATGGAGAACCGATCAGTGGTTACCAGGGAAAGGGGCGGGGGGGGTGGGGGGAGGGCACAAAGGGTGAAATGGTGTGCCCACAACATTACTAACAATAATGTACAACTGAAATCTCACAAGGTTGTAATCTATCATAATCTTAATAAAAAAAAAAAATGACAGATGCTTATAACCTTCATGTAAGCAATTACTCTTCCTGGGAATTTAGCCCACAGACTAGCAAAAGTGTGAGATGATGTATGCACAGGGTTAATCATTATAGAACTGTCTGTCACATTAAAAGATTGAAAACAACGCAATAGCCACAAATAGGAGACAGGTGTTTTTTTTAAGTATGGTCTGTTTATACAATGAAATGCTACGTACTGTAAAAAAGAAAAAGGAAACGCTCTATTCTCTAAATTGGAAAGATTTCCAAGATACTTTGTTTAGGCAAAAAAAGGCAAGGCGCAGAACACCATACCTCTTCTGAGAGCTGGGGTGGGGGTGGGGGGGGTGTGATGGTAATTAAAATCTGCGTTTCTATTTGCCTGCATGTACACAAAGAAATTCTGAAAGGATTCACACAAAATGATTACTCACATACATTGCTGGTAGAAGGATAATTGTACAAGCAAACTTGGAAAACAAATTGTCGAGACCTAGTAACACTGAAGACAGGCGCGTTGCAAACCCAGCCATTCCAGGGTGAGGTCTCCATCCCAGAGAGACGACAGCAGATGAGCCCGGGGATGAGAATGCTCACGCAAACACGGCCCGCGATCGTGAGAGAGCGCCAACACACTCAACGCCGTCAACAGGAGAACAGACATGAACAAACCGGTGGGAAGAGCAGCTGCAGGACCCGTGCGGTGTGAAGCCGTTTACACGGGAATTTTAACCCATGAAAAACAGTATCATTTCTCGTTTCTGAGTACATAACATATGCAAGAAAAAGCACTTTTTTAAAGCATACCTAGATAACAATAAAGACCAAATTCAGGATAAAATTTACCTTTGAGGAGGGAGAGAGAATCAAATAGGGGAGGCAGGTTTTAATTGCATCTGTAGCATTTTAGATCTTGAAAAGAATAAAAGACACATAGTTTAAAAAAAAGTGATTCTTAGGTCCTTAATGAATCTGAATCACTGGGAATCTATGTTTTTAAATCTCTAGGTGATCTGATAAGGCAGCCCCGATCCAATGACAGCATCTGGAAGAAACTAAACTAGGCCATCTCAGGTCTCTGCCGGTTTTAATTTCTTTCTTTTTTTTTTTTAAAGATTTTATTTTTTTTCCTTTTTCTCCCCAAAGCCCCCCGGTGCATAGTTGTATATTCTTCGTTGTGGGTCCTTCTAGTTGTGGCATGTGGGACGCTGCCTCAGCGTGGTTTGATGAGCAGTGCCATGTCCGCGCCCAGGACTCGAACCAACGAAACACTGGGCCGCCTGCAGCGGAGCGCACGAACTTAACCACTCGGCCACGGGGCCAGCCCCTCTGCTGATTTTAAAAAATTAAACTTCCATAACTGATTGACTAAAACTAGCTCTGTCATCTGACGTTCATTTCTAGTCAAGCCTTCTTAGCTTCTTGTACTGTAATGTATAATGAAAGTAAAGCACAAACATTAAAAAAAGTAATTAATTTAACTCCTTAGGAAAAGATAATTTACCATGTATTATTTACTTCCCTTTTAAGAAATACCAGCAAATGCTAAAGAAGGTTCTTGCAATTAAGCTCCCTCAACAAATGGAGCATCGGTCTATAATGAGCCGAGTGCCTCTGATCTGTAAGTGTCTCACATCTGGGAAATAAGATGTAAGATTATTTCACTCCAACAGCATCCGGCATCTTGAAAACATTTTGTCTTTGTCTATTTGTGAGCTGTACTGTCAGGTCCACGCCATTTCCCAATGAAATAGTAAAATCCAATGACACTCTAGATGACTTCACGTTAGGCCAACGTCATTAAGAAGGGAGCTGTTCTTTAGCATGCATGAAATACTCAATACACTCTAAGAGTAGAGGGAAAAGAGAAGAGAGCCCAGGTTTCTGAGTGGACTTCTTGGTTCCCCAGTAGAGACAGACAAACACAAGAATGCAGAAAGCTGGGTACAGGTGACCAAGAGTGGGGCCAGGTGAAGGAAGCAGACCATGAAGAAAGCTCCTCGTTTGTCTCATCCTTCTTTCCTTCCTTACTGAAGGGATGGCGCTAAGACCAGAGAAGTGAGGAGTAAAAGAGAAAGTGTCAGCTGGCTCAGCAGAATGAATATGAAGTGTGAAGCCGGCCCCCTCTGAGGTCAAGCCCCAGCTCCATCACCCATGGTCTCTGCATCACCCCACCCGCCGAGCCTCGGTCTCTCACTTGTAAAATGAAACAGCTCATAGCAACACCGTTCTCAGGCCGCTGCTCTGAGGATCAAGAGAGAAGGATGGTGGAAAGGAACTCTGGGAACACTAGTGGTTTACATGTAACATGTGAGAGTTCTGTGTCTGGAAGGCTAAGCAAGCTCAGCAGGAGAAATTCCCCATCACAGGATTCCTACTGAAAAAAGAAATGCTCTGCTCAGTCTCCCAGGACACGGATACGAGAAAAGCCACGTCTAGGTATTCTGACCGGCCGACAGACACAATATTGTTATCATCAGTCTGCCCTTTATATTTCCCTGGGGAATAAGAGGGAAGTGAAGCTTTGAATTTTTTTTTTGAGGAAGATTAGCCCTGAGCTAACATCTGCCCCCAATCCTCCTCTTTTTGCTAAGGAAGACTGGCCCTGAGCTAACATCCGTGCCCATTTTCTTCTACTTTATATGTGGGATGCCTGCCACAGCATGGCTTGACAAGCGGTACAGAGGGTCACGCCCAGGACCCAAACTGGGGAACTCCGGGTTGCTGGAGCAGAGAGCGCAAACTTCACCACTGTGCCACCGGGCTGGCCCAAGGCTCGAGGTTTAATGGACACTTGCACATCATGAGAACCATTGGTATAAAATGTTTCATCAGGTTCCCCACCTCCTCCCAATCCTCTTTTCAAAGCAGGTACTAGCAAGCAACGATGGACTAGACGGTTTGGCCCAATCTGCCTGATGAAGACAATTAGGGAAGTAACATAAAATGCACACAGCATCTTCCCAAGAGCGTGAAAGAGCTATTATCACAGCCAGGAATCACTGGGCCATGATCCAGAAGAAGATGGGAATCCAGAGAGGTCGCCTGGCAGCTGGGGCTGCCTTTGCCACCCCAGAGGAGGCAGCTAAGGGCCCAGGCAGCACCGCTAACAGCTCCAGGGGACTAGGGATGAAAGCTGGAGTGCAGGGCATGCCGAGAACGAGGTCTCTGACAAAACACCCACAACTACGATTCGAACCTCAAGGACTGTATCTTGGAGTAAGAGTGAAATTTAAATACAAACCTGCCCTCGAATGGGCTGCAGGCTGAGCTCAAGTTACCTGGGGGCTCTGAGATCTCAAGCCCTGAAATTAGATTAAACTGACTTTGGAGAGCTAATGCCCCCCAACCATGTGGCAGAGGCAAATGGCATGCTCTCTGACAGAGGAAAGCACAGGGCTGAGAACCAAGTTATTCCTATAGGGACAACTGGATACCCGCAAGAGAAAGAATGAAACTGGACCGCTACCTCACACTACCTGCAAAAATTAAATCAAAAGGGATCACAGACTAAGTTTAAGAGGTAACGCTATAAACTATTAGAAGAAAAAAATAAGTGTCAATCTTCAAGATCTTGGATTGAGCAATGGTTTCTTAGATACAACACAAAAGGCAATAAAAAGGAATGAACACTGACACATGCCATGATGTGGACGAGGCTTGAGACCATTGTGCTAAGTGGAAGAAGTCAGTCATGAAAGACCACGCAGTGTATGAGCACATCTCCATGAAATGCTGAGAACCGGTGAAGCAATGGAGGCAGAAAGAAAGCAGAGGAGTGGTTGTTCGGGGCTGGGAGTGGGGGGTGGGGATGGGGCAGTGACTGTTAGCGCACTGAGCAGGGCATTTCTCTTTGAGGCAATGAAAATGTCCTGAAATCAGATTATGGTGATGGTGGCACAACTCTGTGAACATACTAAAAACCACTGAATCATGAGGGGAACGGCATGGGATGTGAAGTACACCTCAGTAAAGCTGTTCTAAGAAAACTGTTGAAACAATTTTTTCCCAACTGTAACGACCAGCATGACCATCAGAGAACCTGGCACACAAGAAGACAAAATGACGTGAACCAGAACAAGCACAACAGATAACAGAAGCAGACCCAGCAAACTCCACCGAAACCACGGTCCAAACAGCCGTGCCTGTTATGTGCTTGTTATGGAGACGAAAGCCAAACAAACGTTCCCAAAAGAAACAACCAGAAACTCTAGAGTTGAAAACTACCACAGTCAGAACTGAGAACCCCGTGAACGGGAACAAACTTAACAGCAGATTCGACACAGCTAAAGATAGAAATAGAGAGCTGGAAAGTAACAAGAAAAAATTAACCCGACTAAAGGGAAAAAAAAGGATATTAAATACAAAGATAAGAAGTAGAATATAGTGAAAAAGTCTAGCATATATTTAAATGTAGTCAGAGGGAAGGGAGGAAGCAGGGCAAAGTTAGACTCTAAGAAAAATGGCTGAAAATTTTTCCTAAAACTTAGAAAGATAACAATCGACAGATTTAAGCAGCCCAGGGAATCCTAAGCAAAATAAATAAAAAAGAATCTACATCCAGACACAATAGAGTGAAACTAGAAAATCAAAGTAAGAGAGAAGGTTCTAAAAGCAGCCTGCAAACAGGAGGCAGACCGCCTCTTGAAGACAAGAGTCACAGTAATGACTGAGAATACTCTGCTATCAAAAACAAAGCATTCAGGTTAATCCATGTTTGCCTGTGCTTGAAGAAAATACAAATTAAAACAAAAACAGATCTCAGAAAAAGCTTTGGCAATAAACAAGGCTCAGAAACAAAACCAACGGCTTACCTTCAGCCACTGTTCGGCCTGCTCCTTGCTCTGGACTGCAAGAACAAGCGGGTCTGTGCCTTGCTGAGTAATTTTCAACTCGTGTTTCTTCTTTTTGCTGTCCTTTGGGATATATGTAATGTTGCACCCTTGGAGCGGCAGTTCCATCTGAGGCTGCTGGTCCTTAGAACTTTTATAGCACTGCATTTAACATGACAAAACAAAGTTGGGTTACGAGGAAGTCCAAACAGGACACTGAGAGGACTCCAGAATAATGAAAACAGGAGCGCTGTCAAGGCATCTGGAGGTCCTTGAACAGTGAGATGCTCGGAGATTGGAAAATGGACCTGCAGACGCTCAGGTATCGCACACAGAGCACTGCTCCTCCCTGACGCTCCACCTCCACGTTCGTGAAGATACGTCGACCCAATCAGCTGAGCAGTTGACTGAGCATCTGTGACCTGGCTCAGCAGGAAATAAAACGTCCCTGCTCTGATGGAGCTTCTGTTCTGGTGAAGCATCTTTGTTAAGGTCCACGAATACAACAGATTAGGTTTGTTGAAACAGCGCAGCCCTCACGCGGGCGGACAATTTGGATACTTTATTCTACAACCTATGTCGTTTGGTATCCGTCTATCTCATCTCTACCCTCTTTCCGAAAGACAAATGAACGATTTTACTAAGAATATAAATATCAACGCATAATAAACAAAAATGCCTGCAAAGGTTTGTTTTCTGGTTGAGCAGAGGATCCAGAACTCATGCTGTTCCATTTATGCACCGACATTCACTCTGAAGATTTCAGTGCGACCATCCCTGCTTAGCCTAGGTAGGTCTGCAAAACCTACAAACAAATCCTGTGCAGAGGTTTCCCCTGCCCTCTGGTTTAACTGTACTGGTGGGGACCAAAATCTTACCTCCTAATGGAAATATGCGGTCTACGAGTTCAGATATCCGGGTCCCAGCTCTGTTACTAATTTATCTGGGTTTCCGGAAGTTTCTTAAGCTTTCTGAGACTGTTTCCTCATTTGTAACATAGTTATTGCTGTTATTTTACTGAATTACATTAAATTATTAGTAATAACAACATCTGCTACCCATCCCTGAGTGTCAACATTCTATGAGGGGTTTCATGCATCTCATTTAACCCTCACAGACACCCGTTTGGAAGATTAGGAAACTGAGGCTCAGCTGGTGAAATAACCTGCCCCAGGCCAGGCAACGGGAAGAGCGGCGGCGCCAGGACCCCTGCCCCAGGCTGCACGAGGGCGAAGCCTGCACCGCGACTCCAGACCCTCTGCTGACGGGGGAACTAATGAACAGAACCTACTTCCAGAAAGGATTATTCTAGAGCCCTTTCCTTTCACAGTTCCAAAACCATGGCTCCTGAGTGGCACATGTATGGAACACACACACTTTTTTTTTAAATTCAACCAATGGTTGCCCTGTCTAAAAAGGAAACAACACACCAAAACCAGTTAACTTCAGATTGTTATGAATGTCCACTGTTCATCAGATTTTTTACAGTCTCAGCAAGTACCAAAAAAAGAAAAAGAAAACTGACAATACTGTGGAAGGAATGAGAAATTTTATAGCTTATAGTTTTCCTCGGGTTAAGTGTCTCCAAATGGATATGTTATCAGCAGTACGGTAACCTGCAGTCTGGAGGGCCCTGCGGGTGGACCCCCAGGAGGCTGACGATACGACAGAGTAGCGTGCCGGGTTTACTAAGGTGCGCCCCTCAGAGCCACACCTGTAGGGCCGGGGAGGCAGCACGACCAGCAGAGGAAGAAGCATGGCTGCAAGGGAGTTCAAACAAAAGGCCCCACCAGGCCTGTGCGGGAGCTTGACGGCGCCAGCAGGATTGTGCCAGGAGGCTGGGCCTTCACGTCCCGGCACCGCATGGAACACAGACCCCCTGGGAAGGGCGCACGATCTCGGGTGAGCTGTCTGCAGGCAGCCATCCCTGCAAGGGTGGGACAAATCCTTCAGTCCTGAAGGGGTATCTGGGGACATCACAGTGTCCAGCACAGAGCTGCCAGGCACGGAGAGGAACAGGTTCTGGAAGTATACACACAAAGGCCACTAATGGTGGTGCCTGTGGGAAGACAGGCAGGGAACATTGTGGGGAAAGCCTGGCTTTCCGTTTTCTACTTATAGTTTTCTGTACCATTTAAACCTAGAAAGGACTTGCTTTATCACTGTTAACTTTTCTTTTTTTTTTTTTGAGGAAGATTAGCCCTGAACTAACATTTGTTGCCAATCCTCCTCTTTTTGCTAAGGAAGACTGGCCCTGAGCTAACATGTGTGCCCATCTTCCTCTACTTTATATGTGGGACACCTGCCACAGCCTGGCTTGACAAATGGTGTTAGGTTCACACCCGGGATCCAAACCAGCGAACCCTGGGCCACTGAAGCAGAACGCATGAACTTAACCTCTGCACCACAGGGCTGGCCCCTTCTTCATGTTTTTAATTCTTTTTATTTTTTTAAAATGTCAACAGGAGTCATCTGGGCAGTTGGATCATAGGTCATTTTTTAACAAAAAAAGCTCATAATAACAATAACTAACTTGGATTCTGTGTTTTATCGGAGAGCTCGCTCTCACACGGTTTTCCACTAATTTCTTCATAACTATTTACAACTGCTCTAAACAGCAGGTGTTATCATCCTGGTTTTGAAGGTGGGGAATCTGGTGGGAGACGGAGGCAAAGGGAGGGAAAGCCGTGGAAGGGAAGACAGCAGCGGGCGAGGAGGGAGCGCTGGCGGGGAGCGAGGACGGGCACCCCACGCACAACGGGCTTCCCTTGGTGCATTTTCAAACTGCTCTTTGAAATGGGAGCCGACTGTATATTTTTAAAACATTCATATAATATATCCACATCTTGTAGCCATTATGTCGGATTATAAATAAGGACCATATTAATCTTTTAAACCTTTTTTTTTTCATTCTTTAAAATTCCCCCACAGCATCATTTTTGGCATATTCTAAATTTGGGAGAAATTCAGGCCACACATGTGGAAAAAATATGTACTCTCATTGTTAAAAAAAAAAAAGAACAAAACCATTAATTAAAAAATATGCAGTGTCCTAAGAATCTAGTAAAATAAAATTCCCACAATTCACAGATGAAACTATAAAAAAAGGGTTCTCTGTCATCCGCTCCAGTAAAGTGTGATATATAACATCATAAATTCTCATGTGTTCTGTTTTAATGATACAATTTTTTTTCCTGAGGTTAATCTGAAGAAAAAGCAAAAAGCAAAAACATACTCTAGAATTCCTAATTCCGACAATGAAGCAGGGTTTCTAAAGCTGGAGAGGAAGGAAGGAGGGGGAGGGTGGGCTGACGTCCCACCAGCCTCCCGGGACAGGCCCCGCGGGAATAACACCTACAGCAAAGGGTCTGCGTGCTCCCATCCCCGCTCCTCTGCCACTTACCCCATCGCCCTTCCACCTCTCAGATTTAAGGGAAAAAAAAGAATCAGCCTGCAGCTTTCCAAAAGAATTTCCCTTCCTGGCCACTCTTTCCCTCCAAACCTCGCCCGGCCTGCCTGTCCCACTTCCATGACCTGGCTTTGAGGAATCCACTGACTCACGACAAATGAGAAAATCCATCTGACGACGCCTGGCAAGTCCGAGCATGTGCATTTCCACGGACACAGACCGCAGACACTGGCGGGGAACGATTTTGCCCGCTGCCTGCTGTAGGGGGCTGACGAAACCAGCGGCATGAAAGATGCCGTCACCTCGGCCAGCGCTCGCCGGCAGCCTATTTCGGGCCAGCGCCTGACCGCCGTGAGCTCTCCGGGAGGCGCTGGGGGCTGAGCGCCTCCCTTTCCTCCTCACTGAGGTCAGCGTTGCCTGGATGCAAACGCCATCAAGCCAGACCGCCGACAAAATCCTACGGGCTTTACCCCAGGGCAACCAATTCACAGCGCTTTACCAGCAGCTTGGCGTCTTTGATGACGCAGAGCAGCTTGGTCCACTGGCCAAAGCGCTTTTTCCGCAGCAGGAAGGCGCAGATCTTGGCGTCCTTCACCAGGTCCATGGAAGCCTCCTCGGACGGCCACTGGTGTCGCGTTTTCTTCCCCTTTCCATCCTCCTCCTCTTCATCATACGATTCGTAGGAGCTACTCATCGCATCTGAGTCATAATCTGTAGGCAGGAAGGAAGGAACAGGGCCAGGTTACAAAAATCTTATCTGCACGCTTACCTGCGGGCTCAAGGGCACATTATCACATCATTCAGTGAGGAAGGGCTTTCTGCATTCAGTGTGCTGGGGGAACGTTAATTAGTAAAAATGGGAAAAAATAACTAAGACTTGGGAAGTGGAAACTCAACACAATTTCTACACTGAAGTCACTAGGAATTCTGTATTTACAAAGACCATTTAGACTGCTGAACCCGGGCTGGGCCTCTGCAGACACGGCCTTGTGGAACCCTTGCCACGTTCTCGCGGGGGAACATCATCCCCGTCCTGCAGCGCCTTCCACCAAAGGGAACCCTGGCCCAGAGATGCGCCCAGCTCTCCACGCCCACACCTTCATGTCACAGTTCTTCCTAGTCAGCACTGTCCTTGTCCCTGGGGCATCGCCACACGCACAAGCCCTTCCTAAGGTCCGAGAGCCAACCCTAGGCCGCCCGTCCCCTTCAGCCATCCTTGGGACGTTCGGAAACATTTACACCCATCTTTCTCGTTCTGTGGTGCATTAACACCCACATACCAGGTTATTTTTGGTTTCCCCAATATATCGCTTTCTCTCTACCTCCAGGTCTTTGCACCTGCTGCTCCCTCACACCGGCCTCCCGCTCATCGCACTCACGCTCCTGCCCGTGCCTCAACAGACGCTCTCATCTTTCGCGATCCCACTTACCGTCACCTCCTCCACAAGCCCCCCTGAATCACAACATGTCCTGCACTGGACTGAGCTGTGCCCCCAACTTCACGTGTGGAAGCTCTACCCGCGGGGTGACCGCATCTGGAGATCAGACTGTTAGGAGGTACTTACAGTCAAATGGGGTTATATGGGCGGGGTCTTAATCGGATAGGACTGGTGGCCTAGAAGAGGAAGAGAGAGAACTCTCGCTCTCTCCTGGCCACGCGAGGACACAGGGAGACGGTGCCTGTCTGTAAGCCAGGAAGAGAGCCCTCACCAGAACTGGACCTTGCTGGCACCCGAATCTTGCATCCAGCCCCCAGAACTGTGAGGAAATAAACGTGTATTCTTGCACCACCCAGTCTGCGGGATTTTGTCATGGCAGTCTGAGCCGGCTAGACCCGGGTGAAATGCTGCTCCTCTGTGCATCCATGCCACCCGAGAACAAACGCACCCAGTGTACTGCCATCACCGTTTGCCATCTGTCCCCAACACCATGCCATAAGCCCCTGAGGGGAGGGAGACCACCTTGCTGGATGTGATTGTCCCAGAATGTAACTAATCACACAGGGCAGGTGCACAAATATTTGTAAAAGGAGGAACTATTAGATAAGCTTGTACTCACAAAGGCCTCAGAAAGATGGCTGGCAAATTAAAAGTGTTTAAAATGAATACCAGTGACTGTCAGTATTATTGCTAATTTCAGCCCTGCTGGATGATAAGCTCCTTCAGGCAGAGTCTGATTCACCTTGCATTCCCCTCAACCCCAGGACACATATGGAATACGTTCGCTTTTCAAAACATATTTGAGGAATGAACACCTAAACAACGAATGAATGATAGCTAAGAAGAAACTACCGCTAAAGCAGTTGGTTGCACAATTCAGCAGAAGCGGCAGGAATGGCAGACCTCATACAGAACAGAGTTCACATTTTCTCACTCATGGCATGCTAGGCTATAACTTGTACTCAATGGTCACTTTAATTTTCTCTCAAAGAGTCACTACTAAGAGGGTGGAATAGAAAGATTGGAAGTTTAAGTTAAATTTTAAACCATGAAAAAGAGGTCAATGAAGGATCTTAAGCAAGAGACTACAGCGACTGAAGAGATAACTCTGGCAACAGCATTGAGAATGGGCTGAAGTTGGGGTGACAGAGAGACGGGGAGCAGTTAAGAGGCGTCTGCGATAAGGTTGACTAGGATGCTGACTGTGCCAAGAGGAACATGAGGAGGGGTGACTGGAGCAGTGGCTACGGACCTCGGTTACGGATCACTGGGGAGTGACTAAGACAGAACAGTCCAGATTCCCCTTCTGTGCTGCTGCACTTGCACCCTCGCACCCCACAGCCAGGCTGCTCTTGTCATCTCCACACCCTCCCCAATCCCAACGCGCAGGCACGCACGCACACGCCCCACACACCAGCATCTACGTCCACCCAACGCTCCCGTTTAATGTGGTAGCCACGGGTGGGCATTTAATTTCAAATTCGAATTAAAGTTAAAGAAAACTAAATATCCAGTTCCTCAGTTGCACTGACCACATTTCAAGTCCTCAGCAGTCCCTGGTGGCCACGTGGATGCTGTACTGGAGAACTCAGACAGACAGCAAGTCCATCGTTGCAGAAGTTCTATCAGACGGCGCTGGAGGCGACTAACACGCACAATGCAGTGAGACATGCCACAGAGAGACAGGCCGAGGAGCAGAGCATGCGTGGGACACAGCAAAGACTGAAGAGACCACTTCTGATCTACAGCTTTTATGAGTCATTGCCAACCAGGCAGAAAAGTCTAGAACGAGGAAGATAATGAGCAAAAGCACTGGAAAACATCGAAACATTTAAAAATAGAGTGGATCCTTTCATTTTTCAATAGTATTTACGTGACGGCCACAGAAGCCAAGTCAGTGGCTACCTCTGAGGGGAGGGGAGCTGTGATGAGGAGGGGACGCCGGGGGCTTGAGGGGCTGACAACGTTCTATTCTTGACCTGGGTCATGGGTCACAGATGTTTCGCTTTCTGATAAGTCATTAAGCGTACATTCACATTGTATGCATTTTTTGGCAAATACATTATATTTCACAATAAAAGAGTTTAGCATGGCTGGAATGGAGGTATGTGGAGGGAAGTGGTCGAACATGACACTGAAAACACAGGTGGTGGCCAGACTGTGAAAGGTGAGGTGCTACCCTCTGACCCCATGTAAGCAGAGACTTAAGATGGGCAACGGACAAAACCGTATTTTTTTAGGAAGATCCTGTTCACGGTAGCTTGGAGGACCATGAATCCCTCAGTGCTTAGCTCGCTTTCTAAAACAACAAGTTCAGTAAATATTTAATGAACAAGTGAACAAAAGCATTAACGAATAAATTGGTTATAAATTGGAGAACCACCTTTGATTTCATCGATTCAACAAATATTTATTGAGCACTTACTGTGTGTCACGCAATATTGTTTATTCTTATATCTATATGCCGGGATCTGAGATCAAGCTTTGAAAAGCCGGGGGCTGCTTCCAATTTACAAAGGGCTTTCACAGCCATCGTCCTGCTGGGCCTCTCAGTCACCCAGAGATGGACGCAGAGCAGCATCCTTATTTCAGGGGAAAGGAAGAATGATGCTGGAAGACCAAGTAACTCACGCCCGACCACATCCCTGACGAGTGACAGAGCCAAAACGTGACTTCAAATTGACAAAGGAGACCATGCCCCCAGCCGCCCTTTGCCTCCTCGGGAACGGGCTGAGATGCACAGCTGAGAATGACAGCAAGTCCACGTTCCGCCTTCTTCTGAGAGAGCAGGACTGACGGGTTCACTTTCGGAAGAACGTCAGCCATCTGAACAGGAGACAGAGCAGTCAGGAGGCACAGCCGGGCCTGCAGGAGACCAGCTCTCTGACAGGTCGCTTCAGCGGTTACCCAACAGAGGAGCAGAACCCCTCATTCCTCGTGCCGTGTACCTCCTGGGGGCTCCACCAGAACTTCATGGAGTTTACTGTCTGGGGTGGGGGTTTGGATTACATTAGGGGGTGATGAGGGCGCTGTGAAAAATTAAGACAGACGGAACGGGGAGGAGGGGAAACAATCGCTGAGGCCTTCAGCCCGTGCAGTAGGCGTACAGGCGATCTCGGGGAGAAGGACGGAGGGCACGGGCGGAGAGGGTGTTGACTAGAAAGTGGCAGCCCGTGGCATATCCTGGCGTCCATGCACACGTCCACACCTCACGTGGAATGAGGAAGCAGAACAAAGAGCCAGCGAGAGAACTGGGGGGATCCTTCTAAGTGACGCTGCCGGTTAGGAAATGCGCTTCTCCACCAGGAACTATTCTCGTCGGCAAGAAGTGCTACCATCGTGCGGTTCTGATGAACTAAAGAACGTTCCCATCGACTATCACAGGTCTCCCTTGCGATCCCAAAGTTCACTTTACGCCGCTTCACTTTCACAAAAGACCCACATTAGGGCCTACTTTCGGTAACCGAAAGAAACCCAATGAGGATTTTCACTTCTTCGAAAACGGCATCCAGCGTTTGTTTTGTAGCCAGCCATTATAGAGACGAAGCCCCAAGCATACTGTCATACTTCAAGGCTTCCACAGCAGCCACGACAGACGACGGACCTTGACCTTTGACATGGAGGCAGGGAGACATGGAAGAAGGTGTAGACATCAGAGACCCGCCTGCCCGGCTGGATTCAGACATGATGAGATGTCAACAGAGGACACTCCTCCTCTCTCCTACAGCCCCGTCTCCTGTGCCTCCCACCGCCCCAACCTCCGACGACGCAGCGTAACACGTCACCACCACCACCACCTCTCAGCCTCCCAGGGAGCCCACCGCCTTCCTGACCCTGGGAAGTGAAACCTCATTTCACCTTTCTAGGGGCTGTGCAGTCATCGAACCGCTGCTGCGTCTACACTAGGTCAGCGTGACTTCAGCATTTACTTGTTATTCGGTATGACTCGGAAGGTTATTTTTGGGTCTGGGAACACTTGAAAATTTTTCCCACATAAATTAATGGTAATTGCTTCTTTGTTTTACACCATTTTGGCTTACGAAGGGGTTCATAGACACACTACTTTGAGATAGTGGGAGAAACCTGTATTTTTAACTATAAAACATTAAAATTTTTATTTTAGACATATACCATACCCCATGAAGTGAGAAATGGCATTTCACCCAGTTACCCTTGAGGAGAGAGAGGGCAAAGGACAAAGAAAGAGTGAAACTAGAAAACTGAAAATGAGATGAAACATAAACCTGAATCCAAAAAACTCAACAAGGGCTGCATCGACTTTGTCTGCGTCAACGTAGCTGAGCGGGAAGCACGGTCCGCAGAATTCCCGAGCTGTGCAGCCCGCGTTAGGCCAGCCACAAGAGAACCCTGGGAGAGGCCGGAAGGGGCGGCAGCGTCACGCTCTGAGGATCGGCGGAGGGCAGAGGCGCTGCCGATGCTCGGGCGTGTTTCCACCATCTGTCGGCCCGCCCTGCTGGCCCGGAGCTGCCCGACCTGCTGCTGGACCTCCTCCTTTGGTGGCTCAGACCCTGTACAGGTACACGTACAAGTCCATCGCCAGGAGCACCAGCATCTGCTGCAAGTCGCCGAGTGTGGAGGGAGTCCAGGATGGACAGGCTGCAGTTTGTCCTTGCAGATCTGTGCATCCTTGACCTCACCCCACTTCAAGTCCAGCTTTTCACCCAGGCTGCCCTTCCAACCAGATCCACAGGCAGGAGCCTTCCACCGACTTCTTCAACAGCTCCCATAATTGTCTGAGGTCTAACCCCCATGATAAGCCTTCTATTCCACCTCAGAGTGGTTCTGCTGCTCTGATCAAACTTGTTATAGAAATCGGTAATGAAGGCCTTTGACAGGCCTTTATACGTGAAGCACAGAGCAGACCCTTAGGATAGCGGAGCACAGCTATGCCAGCCTCTGACGCTAACTATTTTACTTTTGAGAAACTGCTCTTGGCTCACGGATGCCCTCACAGAGTCTAAAGGCTTGAGCATGGGGCAGCAAGTTATGACGCAACCTGAGCTGCCCACATGGACCCCAGGCTGTCTGATCCATCAGGGAGCATTCAGCCAGCACATCAACACAGTCTGCATCTCCACCGGGCCCAGAAGACGTAAGGAAGGTAGAGAAGCAAGCAGTTCAGATGCCCACGGCCCCGCCTCCTCTCAACTCTGACTCATGGCCTAACAGTTCAGTTGGACGGTCAACACTTGAGAGGAAGCAGTAGCAAGGAGGTCTGCAAAAGAGGTTGTGAGCAGACCTCCACACAGGCTCTGGATGTAAGTATCTGCACATCAGCTGAGCGCTGAGCAAAGAGCCCTCTCAGCAGAAGATCTTCAAACGCAGGTGAGAAACACGACCCCTTATATAGATGTGGGTCAGCTTCTTTCCCCAGACTTCTTGTCAAACGGACTCGTACAACGGCCACAGCGGCACGGATGGAGGTCACGCACGGGACTCAGCAGCATGGACTTCAGCCACGAAGCATCACCTGGCTCCCGCACTTGGAGCGTTTTCCCAGCACATGATGCTGCTCCTTGGGGAAGCAGCCAGCCACCTAATAACAGGTGGTTCCCACTGGACCACTTCCATCATGGAAGGGGCAGCACCTGATTCTCACTGGAGGCGATAACTCAAGTAAATTCGCCTCCGCTGTCCACAATGCTCCTGCCAAAAGCACCGTCCGTGGTCTCACAAAACACCCTATTCACCATCATGGGAGCCCACGTCACATTGTTTTTGACCAAGGAACTCGTTTTATAGCAAACGAAGTTTACCGCAAAGGGTTTACGCTCATGAAACCCCCTGGCCTTGCCATGTCCCGGTCACCCTGAAGCAGCTGACGCAACAGGCTGGTGGAATGTCCTTTTGAACGTTCAGTTTCAGGACCAGCTTGACTGGGAACACCTTGTGGGGCTGGAGGTGGTATCTTCTAGCAGATGCTCTGACGGAGCGGGCTGTTTCTCCCACAGCCGGCATTCGCAGGTCTGGGAATCCAGGGGCAAATACGGTAGCGCTCCTCTCACTATTACCCCAGGGATCCGCTGACAGAATTTTACCGCCCTTCCTTGAAACGCTGGCCCTGCTGGCCCACAGGTCTTCGTTTCTACGGGCAGAATGCTCCCTCCTGAGGACAGCATAATTGCTCCATTTAACTGGAAGTGGCGACAACAGGCAAAGAAGGGGTTACTGCAGTGACCGGGATGGCTGGTCCCGACCACCAACAAGCTGTGACCACACACTGGGGAAGGAAGACATGCCCGGATCCAGGAGATCCCTCAGGACGCCCCGCCCTGTGACTACAGTCAGTGGAAAAGCACAACCGTCCAATGCAGGCGGTCCTGCCGTGGCCCAGACCTTCCAGGAAGGAAAGCTGAGTCATCTTATTGGACAACCCACCAAGGTGCTTGCTGCAAAGGGAATATGAAGCCAGCCATAAATAACAGCTATGACCACTGACCGGCTGTAGAAATGAGGACTGAACCAGTGACCAACCTTCTCCCTTGTTTTGATATGGACATATTTGTGGATGTATAAACGACTTCTTTTCTTCTCTTCCCCTCTCCTGTTCCCCGAGCATCTAACATGAGAAGTGCTAACAGCAGTTAGCCTTAGATCCCCATATTTGAGTTACAGGCTCTCAAAGGGGAGAGCATGACTCAGCTAGAAGAGAATGGACATCACCCCAAAGTGGAGAAAAGGACTCTGTACCCTCTCGGGGAGTTAGGGAGTTTCTGTGTGGGCGATAGTCGAATCCTGTAATGCTGCAGCATGATTCTGCTATTGTCTTTATTTGGAAATTCAATGTGGTTAAAAGAGGTGTGTGTGGATGCCAAATTGACACAAGATAAATGGTGGTGGTTTTACACTGTATCAACTCAGCAAGGCTGGAATTACATTTCCCAAAATTCCCTTTCTTGGATGATTCTGGGTTCGGGCTGGCCATGAGAGCAATTTGTGAGCAATTTGGAAGGCAGACGGGAAGCAGCTGCCAGTACATGCTGAAGGTCAGCGCGGGGTGCCAGGCGCTGCTGCGGCTCACACACATTGTCCCTGGTCTGCTGGCCCCCTGTCGGTGTGGGGCAGCCGCTGGGCCGCAGCTCCTGCAGCTCCTGAGGGGTCTCTTCTGAGTCCTGGGCCGGGAGGCGCGTTCCAGCTCCCCTGGCTGGCCGCCGGTGTGGCCAGGTCTGGAGGACGTGGAGACAGACGTGGGTTCCGGTGGCTCTTCTCTCCCTCAGTCCTCCCCGCTCGTGGTCTCAGCGGCCAGCCCCAGTCCACAGGCTTCTTCACTGCTTCCCACGGTCCCCACAATAAACCCTTCATCCCACAACCCTCACAAGGGTTCTGCTTCTCCGATAAGCCCATCTCTGATACACAACTCAACTAAGCCGTCACGCAGTCTGCAAGCACCTGGTCCGATCTGCAAGGCAGCTCACGCCGCTGTCCCTCGGGGTGGGCGGGGGCCCCGGCCGTCCACTCTACAGCCACAGCCAGCAACAGACAGGGAGCCGCAGCGCGCTCTCACTGCTGACTCGCCGTTCCTGAGTGTGAGGCCTGCTCCTGCTCTCCCGTCTGGAACCGGTGCCACGAAGGTTACCCACCCGTCAGTAGCGAAGGAGGGGCTTCTCCGAGGACAGGATGGGACACGTGAGCCGTGCGGGGCTTCTCGGACGGAAACTACCGAGGCCCCCAAAGTCAGACACAATTATTGTCAGTCTGTAGCCCCGAAAGTGTGTTGGGGGAGAGAAGGAAGGTGGGAGAAGCTAGGACCAAGCGTTCCAAATGCTGGGAAATACCCTCAACAAAAAATTCTTTTCTTTACTCGTTGCTATTAGAAAGAAAGGAATCCAATGAAGTTTTGAATTACCTCAAGCCATTTAATTTTTTGTTTTCTAATTAATCTACTAATTTCTGAAATAGTGGACACTAAGAAATTACCAGAATGCATTTTTCCTGAATAGTTCTTAAATGAAAGAGAAAGCATTTAACTTATGATCTCAAAACCCAGTATGTCCTAACTTCCTTCCCAGAACCATCCCTTTTCTCATCCAGAATGCAACAAATATTTATTGATGTGGGGCCTAGTCTGTGTCGTGACTATTCCAGAAGCGGAGAAAACAGGCACGAGTGAGCCAGCAGAGGCCCCTTACCCTCCAGGGGCTTAGAGCCCAGCGCGGCCGGGTTCTCCATCTCCTCATGTTCAGTGAATACACCAGGGGAATTTCCTGAAACGATCAAGTTAGATTCTGCTTTGCTGAAATGGTCTGCTGGATTTTTGCCCGGGGAGAGAAAGACCAGAAAACTCAAGCCTCTGTGTCGCAGAGACCACAGGTGATGTGGAGACAACACAACACAGGGATGAAGGAGAGCATCTCCCCAGGGAGACAGCCGAGGCGGGTGACATGTCACAGATCGATGGACCACAAGCCTCCAGGTCAAAATGGGCAATCAGTCACTCACTTCCCATTTTTTCTATCTTTTATAAGAAAAGCAAGACTCTATGAGTCAACAAGCACTCAGACACTGCCCCCACTTCAAGAAGAGACATGAGCAGCCTGCCCGACCGAACAGTGAGAGGAGAAACAAGGCCAGTGATGCAAAAATAAATTCCAGAGACAGTTAGAAGGCGGCTTTGACGTCAGCGTGCCGTTCTTGACGTGAATTTGAAAGCTGGGTACTAACAGAGAGGGACTTCTGAGAGTCACCAAGCAGAGTGGAGTCATGTCATGACAACTCTAACTGGGGCAGAAATTTTCTGGTAAGACCTGTATGAACAAAGAAAGATAAAACCAAAAAGAAAGACAAGCCAATGATCGAGATGCCTATTTGTTTTGTCCCCAGTGATTTTTAGCCCAGTCGACAGCCACCACCTCGTGGCACAATGAACGCAGCCTAAGAGGGACAGGCCCCCGTCAGAGTGGGGGGCCCATACACACACCTATAAAAAGGCACCACGAAAGTCGTTTCCCTTTTGACCAAAGGGAGCACACCTCCTTGGACACACGTTTCCACAAGGAGCTCTCACCAGCTGTGAGTCCTGGGAGACAGAATCCGGATCCCAAGGGCACCGTGAGGCACGGGGGACACTGCAAAGCCCCTCCGGTGTTTACCTCTTTGGGTCAAAGCTGACTTAAGTCCACATGTCCCCGGTGTTGTGTGATGGGCCCCTCCCCTTCAGACCAGCAAGGGGGCAGGCTCTCCGCGTCCCGAAATCCGAGAGGCACTCACTTGAGGTGATGTACTCCGGAGCTTTCCCAGGACTCAGGGGCACAGCCTCCTCGTAGTAGCCTTCTGGGAGGGAGGACGTCGGCAACGGCGGCGGCCCGCTGTCCGGCGGCTGAGGAGCAGAAGGAGCAAACAACGCACGTGACCATCAGAAGGACATTCTGCATTTTCAACGAACAGGTGTCGCCCAGCTCTCTCCTCCGCCCCCCGTAAAGTCCCTGGGGAGAGAGCCCGCCCGCGGAGCGGCTCTGCTGGTCAGCTCCGACCGGACCCCGACGGCGCTCCTGCCGGCCCTCGCCCCAGCCCGCAGCCGTGCGTCAGGCAGCATGGCTCCTGCTCCGGGCAGAGGGCGTCCCCAGGGCAGAGACAGTGTCTGTCCCTCTCTTCATGCCCACGACTCTCCCCTCACCGCCACCCCTCTGCATCTCCATGGCCCACCCCACCGTGGGGAGCCCGGGAGCACGGGCGCCGCTGATCCACCCGGCGCCCACCGCAGCAGAAGCACTGGAGACACGGGGCTGGCTGCACGGGCCGGTGCCCACGGTCTCACCACACTCCCAACGTGCGCCAGGGACACGCCGAACAAAGGAAGCCACCTATCAGCTACCCTCTGAAAGAAACTGGAAATGACTCTCTGGAGAAGGAAGCTGCTCATTACTGAAACCAACTGCATCACAGCTGCTTCGGGCTCCGAGGCTGAGGCCGTCGGCTCTGAAGCCGTCACTTTCGAACACAGAGGAGCCGGCAGGCTCAGGACTATCCAAATTCTACCTGGCCTTCAAGACCTGCCGAGGCCCCCTTCCTCTCTCAAATCCTCCTGCTGACCCTAACACAGGCCACCCTCCGCTTCCTACGAGCATCTCTGGGTTTGCTGCAGAAATCACTCACTAGTCCTCACGCAACAAAAAGGGCGAGGGGGAGGAGAGCCAACATCTGCCAGACGCCTGCTAATTGCCCGGCACTGTACTAGGTGCTTCTGCAGTGGTCACGGGTTGCATCGGTCAGTCCACACAGGAACCCTGCACGGTACATGTTACATTACCTTACAGTTTGCAGACATGGCGAGGGAGGCCCTGCCTCTGAAACGGCCCGCTCAAAATCAGATGCTAGGAAATGACAGAGCTGGAGTTTTCTAACACCAGGCCTGTCTGCTAAAGGCCTTTTTTATATTCATATTCTCTCTCTTTTCCTTTGTTTGGTTTTTTATGAGGAAGATTGGCCCTGAGCTAACATCTGTTGCCAATCTTCCTCTTTTTGCTTGAGGAAGATTGTGGCTGAGCTAACATGTGTGCCCATCTTATATTTTATGTGGGATGCCTCCACAGCATGGCTCCATGAGCAGTGCTAGGGCCATGCCTGGGATCTGAACCTGTGAACCCCGGGCTGCTGAAGCAGAGCGCACAAACTTAACCCCTCTGCCACGGGGCCGGCCCCCCTCTTTTCCTTTTGTAAAAGGAAAACAAACTGTAAACAAACTGAAAAGATGTCACCAAGAATGACACAGAACAGAGGCCCCAAGTGGAAGATCTCCTAAGTTAACTTTCCAAGTAGAACAATGTTCCAAAGAAATCCTAGGGGTTTTTTTTAATATAAACTCTCTAGAATGTGAAACTGCACCACTTCCCATGTAACTCAGCTCTGAATCCAGAAGTCCGCTGGGTGACTCACCACCCACTGTGCTTCACCCACTCCTTCCTCGCCAGATGAAGACTGATACCTCCCTCAGGACCTCTGCACAATGTGCCCTCAGACGCTTGAAGGCCTTATCTCCCTCCCCCAATCCCGGTCCCTGTTCCCTAAAGAACTCAGATGCCTCTGCGCTCAGGGCTGCCTTCCCGGACGGACGGTCGTCATGCTGTGCCCCCATCTGGACGGCATCCACGTCCCTCCTATCTTCCTGAAGAGGCAGCGCTGAAAATAGACCCTGCTCCACGGACGCGGCCCCAGGCACGGTCTGAACAAGAGCCCACCCTGAGCTGAAACCTCTGCTTGCTGCTTTGGGGAAAGAGCTGTTGGATCCACTGAGTGTCTTTATCCATGAAATGGAGGGTGTTTCAACTTCCTCTGAGTATGTTGAAACATACAAATTATTCATGTCCTGGGAAAGCATTACAAACAGCTGAGTCAAACAAATGCTGATGAAACGGCAGCGACTCCCGTTCGAGAGCCGCAGTCAGGCGCAGTGTGAGGGGAGCAGCTTCTCTCTGGCCCATGGGATTCCTCAACAGAGACCTTCCAACCCCACTGGAGGTCCTGCACTTGGCACAACCTTCGGCAACTCGACAATAATTCCACTTCTAGAAATTTATGCCGAGAAGATCAATTGGTCTTGTGAGCAAAAGTGGATAAGGATGTTCCATAACAGTTTTTTTAGCAAAATCTAAAACAATCTAAATGTTCATGGAGAGAGGAATGCTTACAAATACTGACACATCCACGTGCAGACGTTTAAAAGGAGAGTGCGTATCTATCGTCATTTACTTGAAAAATCTCTACTAGATACTGTTAAGCGAAAGAAAACAGCTACACTAGGAGCCCTTTATATAACATTTGCGTGTTTATGCTTTCATACATACAAAAACAGGAGGTCATTCACCATGTTAACAAATAGTTACCTCATTTTTAACCATTGTCTGTATAGCTCCGATTTTCTACACAGTATTTGCCGTTTTTAAAATGAAAAAAAATTATACTATTTTCACTTTGAAGTAATACTCCCCCAAAAATAATCTTTCTAGAGGAGCACCCACTCTCTCCAAAAAGGATCAGTACTTCACTCCCAAATACCACTCAACCTTGAAATTCCACCACAGGGGTTTCAGGGCCTCAAACAGGGGAATTACAGTTTGTTAAAGGGCAAGGGGAGGAGAGCCTGAGAAGTCCCTGAACTGTAATTTAGCACCACTTTTTTGGAGCAAAAACTTCTTTCAGATCCTTTCCAACAGGTAAGATTTCCCTGAAATCACAAATAGCAGGAATTTTAAATGGCGCAAATTTAAAGGCAGATTTCCAAAAGTAATCACGGAAAACCAGAGGACAGGCAGGAAACAGGAAGGCAGCATGACAACGAGGAACGCTCCAACACTCGGCACGCATCAGAGCTGGGCCGGCTCCGTCCTCAGGCCACGCCACCTTCCCGTGACTCTGAGTCCAATCTCCCCACCTGGAAAGGAGGGCACTGGAGCGCGATCATCTCTCACGCCCACCCGGTTCTAAGATTCCCATTCTATGTTCTTATAACGTTGCAGGTCGAGAGGCCATGAAGCCAACTTTACCTACTTCAAATTTTCATGAGAGTTGCCCTCGGGTCCTGACTAAATGATCAAGGACATCATAAACTCTGGCCAGAGCAGGTCTTCAAATGCACCTTCTAACAATAACACTGCACACCAGCGTGGCAGAACCCCAGTGAACCTGACGACCTGCGCTCAGGACCAGAGGAGCCCCAGGCTGTGCGCAAAGCTCCAACACCGCCTTCCACCTGTCAGCAGGGCTCTCCTGGCGGCCCTCACAGACACATGCTAATGAAATAAGGGACTGAGGTCCAAGCACCACAGCCTCCTCAGGGACTTCCAGAGAAAGACGAGAGACCGTTTTCCTCAGCGTGACTGATCTTTTGCTTTTGTTGCGCTCTAGACATAAGACAAAAATGGCACAGAGCCAGTTACTAGATAACTTTTAAACTCACCGGATTATTTCTCCTTCAAATTAATACTTAAGTGAAAGTTACATTTTAACTTAGGAAATCTTATCTGCCTTAAGGTACTGTAAATTTCTCCTTTGAGGTCTCCACATCTTATTAGAGAAAACCAGTACTTACAGATGGACAGGAATATGATCTATAGGCTGCTTGGCTCACAATATTGGCCATAGTTTATTTTCCATCTTTTTGGAAAGAAAAGGCCATTAGTATTTGCCTTTGCTACTTTAAGGAAAAGCCTCACAGAGAATTCTTTTCCATTAGTAATAAATATTATGTTTATATAATTGTATGGTACAATATAATTATTTTCATTCTCATTATTACTATTCTTTCAACAATATAACAATAATAAATACTGTTTACCGTTTGCCTACTACGTGTCAGACATTATTCTGGGATATTTTAGATATAGTTTATCCTGTTCAGAAAATAACACTGAGATGGTGGTATTTTGATTACAATTTTAAAATGAGGAAACTGAGGCTCCAGGGATGAAAGGCCTTGCCCAGGGTCACACATGCCCAGAGCTGATTAGTGGAGATGGCAGAAGCCAGCAGAGTCTGGGACTGACGGCTGACCCAGAAGCTACAGAAGGGCAGGGACGGCATCTCTGCGCCCGTGCCCACACTGCACGTAGTGAGCGGCGTGGGAGCAGAGAAGGAACTCCCGACCCAGCACGGCTGCGGCTGCCCACCCGCCCGCCTCCAGATGCTGCAACACACCCAGACCCACTGCTTCCCGAGGAAGGCGCGTTCCACATGCCTACGTCAGGCCCAACACCGTGAGGCTTCCCCACCCCTCCTACCCGGCACTCCTCAGCACCATCCCCTCCTCCTACCCCAAGTGACTGATTAGTGCTTTAGACTAGAAAGACCAATAAACCACGAGACCCAATCCTAGCAGAGGAAAGCATCAGCCTGTAATTCGGAATCACTTCCTGACTTGAATTCTATACATATAGTGGTGTGTCCAGATTCTGCTTTTCAGTTACAGTGATTAAAATCTGTTGAGAGCAACAGTCAAAACGCTAGGATCTAACATAAGAAAATTAGGGTTCATATTCTAGTTCTGTCACATATCAGCAAAACCCTTCTCTAAGGACGTGAATATTTTAGCAGCTCTCTACAGAGCGTGCAGTCCGTGGCGCATCCTTCAGGAAGGTATTAACACTGCTGAAGGAAACTGGAGATCGGAGTAAAGGAGTTTTTGATGGATAACAAGTTTACGGTCTACACTGCAAAAACGTTTTCAATCCTAACATCAAGAATTAAGTAGTAGTCTTCTTGGCAAAACAAAAGTTTTTGTCCAAATTACATCCCATTCCATTCTGATCACTATTTAATTTGCATTTCACAGAGCACTTGAGTAAACACTGAGAAATTACTCACATATTTTCTTAAGTTTTCTCCAGTTTTATTTATGCACGACAAAGAATGAGAGCCACGTGGGGCCATGTTGTCTTCACTTCCTTCTCCAGCAGTAGGACGGCTTCCACAGGGAAGGCCAACCGTCCAGTAGGGTGGAGACAGGATACAGATCTGAAGTGCAGCCAGGGAGCAGATTTAAGATAAAGAGGCCACAGGAATTACACATGAGACTGAACTCTAAGATTCTCGAAAGTCATGGGAGAAAGGAACAAGATGGAAGTGCTTTAGACAGGGTGAAGGGCAATCAACAGGCACCGGCAAGGGCTGGTGTCAAACTCCCTCGCTTCACAGAGACAGGAAGTAGAACAAGGGTCACCAGGGGCGGGGGGGAACGTGGGGTTGTTGTAGAACGGGGTAGAGACTCAGTTTGGAAGATGAAAAGTTCTGGAGACGGATGGTGGTAATGGTTGCACAACAATGCGAATGTGCTTCATGCCACTGAACTGGACACTTAAAAATGGCTAAAATGGTAAAAGTTTTTATTATGTATATTTTACCACAACAAAAGACTTCATTGTTATCTGCTGGTATACTAAGGCATCACATTTACATGAGCTCTGGCCCTAAAGCATCAAAGAATTGAATTACTCTCCTCTACCCCCTCTAAACACGATATAAGCCCCTGCTGTCTAAGTTATGGAATAAAAATACTTCTAGACAGCGATTTGCCTGGGGATCACATATATCCTACAGAGCCCCCAGAGGCGTCTCCCTTGCTCTTTTCTCTCTCTCGGCCAGGAAGATCCGAGACACCCCTGTTTGTAGACCCAGTGCTATTCTGGAGCAGAAGAGGAGGAAACGAGGCACAGTTGGTGCTTGTCTGGATCGACCTGCTCAGCGAGGCGGGTGCTTGGAGCCGGGTGGTGGGTCCTGGCAGCCAATGTCAACACAGATGGGATCCATTTCCGGCTGCACCGGGCCTGCCTTTCCAAAGGCTCTCTCAGCCCTTGCTGTATACTAAGTACCATCAGCTTGATGGCTGCGCAACTCTCAGCACAAAACAAAAACAAAAATCTGTTGAAAAGCACACGTCTTCCCAGAAACGTTTTTATTACACAGATGCATGTTCTGGTCTCTCCTGAAGGTGAGGGCGCTGAGTGGGACTGCTCACCATGCTGTGTGCCACACTCGCGATCGCAGAGACCTAGGAGTTCGGAATTTCCACGTGGCGCACACCCCTATATTCTTACGAGCCCTCCAGAGCAACAGGAGCCACACTGACGGGATCACCAGCTCACGCAGGGCACCTTGGGAGCGCCACATCGACTCCGTGGATTGAACAGAAACACTGTGGCGTTCCCTTCTTGTGCAGAAGCATCGTCAACGTCACAATGCCGACTTTGCGACATGCTCCCTGACCTCGAGCAGTCACGGGCACTTCCTACTATGCAACGTGACAAACACAAATACAGAAACAAACACCATCTCCAATTCAGTTTAATTAAAAGACAATCGAAGCGAGGCACGGCTGTTCAATGGGTATAAAGTTTCAGTTATGCCAGATGAGTACATTTTAGAGATCTGCTGGAAGCAAAAAGAATGTCAAGAGATAGTTAATAACAACTGCATGAAGACTGGTAGGCACTAAAGGGACAGAAAGGTAAAAGGTTGGTCATTTTGTAGCATTTATAACACAAAGAACTGTGATAAAAGGCAGTATTCATTCAACACACGCCACAAAAGAGGTAAAAACGCAACAGTGGTTCAAATGAATGAGAAATAATACCTGAGGGGAGTATCATAAATCTTACCTAAAAACATCCTTCAGTCATTCACAGTTGCTTTGATGATAATTCCAAATGGCCCACGGCCCTTCATGCCATCACTCCTGTGGAGCGCTCCAGCCTCGTCTGCAGACTGCCCACCCAAATGGGGTTATCCAGCCACGCAGACGGGCCTGCAGTGCTGCAGTCCAGTGGGGTCTTTCTCTGGCTTGTGCCTTAATCTGTGGCACACCCTCTGCCTGGCGCAGCTTCCTACCGGCTCCATCTTTACCCCACAATAAGCTAATTCTCCTGAGAGTCACTGTGCCCAGAGCAAATGACCAACGGGCCACCAATTCACCAAAGGCAGAAATTATTAACAATCTATCCTAGGTATAGATTATGCAGAAGGACAAACAGAATCCAGCACGCAGCCCAGACTCAAAGAACATAGCTGTTGGCCCTACATCCAAACCCCAGTGGTTGGACAGCAGCTAACAGCACGGCTTGGGCGCTGAGGGAGACTCTCTGGACCCCCAGGGACGAGGCACCACCAGGGAGAAAGTACCCACTGGTCAAACTCCTACTCAAAAATTATTTGTCTAAACTTAAAATATTTAAAGCATATGTATACCTTCCTTAGAATTTTTCACTTCGACCGACATGTTTGATTAACCAACCACCAGTTCTGATTCCATCAGCAGGAGGGCTTCTCATACCTTAAAGCAGGCAATTTGCCATGATGCAGCCAAAGGCGGGGGCAGAGCGTGAGTCGGGGAGAGTGACAGACAAAGAGAAAAGAGAGAGAGCATCCCGGCTCAGCAGCAGACTTATAGTTCCTAACCCGATCTTCTCCCACCCACCAGCCACGCCTGCACTGGCTTTGCTGTCACACCTCCCAAAATAGTATTGTTGAGAAAACAGTGGATTTGAAGTCAAAAGAATACATTACAATTTTGCCTTTCCTGCTTATTCTCTGACCTTGAGCTGATCACATACATTCACTGAACCTAACTTTACTTTTCTGGAAATGGATATATACACTATTCACATGCTTAGAGATATTTTAGGGGTTCTTTGAGGTCAATTTGCGAGGAATGAATGAAATCATGAGTGAAACAATAACAAGCATGATCTGAGATGTGTGGTAGGAACCTGGTGAGTACTAATTTCCTCTGTCCCCTCTAGACTGATGATTACTGAGTGTGTGCTGCACACCAGCCACCATGTGGGGCCAGGCAGGACACACAGTAAGGAAGCACGCCCCACTTTCCTGCAGGGCGTACCCCGGTGGAGAGAGAATCAGATGATTCACTCAGAAAGTGAACATTAGAAAGAGAACTGCTAAGTAACTGATTTTGCTCTAATTCCAAATGGAAGTCTAATTTGATTTCCCTGAGTAAGCAAATCAGAAAACAGCAAAAGGCAGAAAAGCTGAACGGTAGTGAAAACTGCCTATGTGAGCCTCTCCAGACTGCAGAAATGGCAAACTCCCAAACGAATTCTGAATGCATAAAATCAAAGAAAACACACATTCCTGGAAGATGACACATCCTTTTCTGGAATAAAAATTAGCTTGTTATCCCAGAAGAAGCATAACAATGAAGATTAAAGTTTCAGACTAAGGTATCCAAATGCAGAGTTAACCCAGAAAGAGGGTCAGGTTGCCAGGCTCTAAGTCATTGTTTTGCCTGCTAAATCCTCTGATTTTTTTAAAAATCTGCCTTAAGAACAGAGTTCCATGGACCTGTGCCTCCAGCAATATTCAGAGAAACACCAGCCTCCTAAGGGAAGGCTACGTTTACAGCCTCCCACTTAGCTATTACAGCAGCCCCACAAACACACTCAAAAGAGTGCCGCGAGCAAAATGAGGCCCCCTTTCTTCCAGAACTGGGCTATCAGCACCTGCCCCAGAACCACAAGTAACCCAGGCGTCCAGCGATTCTTGCCGTGATGGTGGGACATGAACTCACCAGCCACGGCTGCGGGATCTCCGGCAGAGGCAGCTGGGGCGGGGCTGGCAGGCTGTTGGGGGTCTCTTGCTTCTGAGCATGATCTTTCACTTCAAAACCTGTAAAGTATCAACCAAAACCACAGAACTGGATGAGAAGGAGGAGGATGAAGATGGTACTGTTTACAGCTATCATTTTCTCAGCACCATACTGAACATTTTGCAAAGATTTATCTTCTCTAATCCTTCTCAATAATTTTATAAGGTAGGTATTAATTCTCTATTTTACAGGTCAAAAATCTATGGTTAAAAAGGTTTCAAAAAAAGGTTAAAGGACTAATCAAAACATTAACAGGTAGAAATGATAGAGCTGGCACAAAGCTGACGTTCTTCCCAATGCCAAACGGCCTCTCAAAGGCAAGTGGCTTCATCTGAACTTCTACTCAGGTTAGTACTTACCCACGCAGTAAGGGGACAGACGCTTTCCTGGGAATCAGGGAATCTGTATTAAGTTCCCTCTTAAAGTCAGACACTATGAGAGACATACTTTACAGATGGCATGACTGACATAAGCTCATACCCTCAGGGCACTCAACTCAAGTTGCGAAGACAAGTAGACATACAAGTGACTCAGAAAATGTGGTGAGCGCTTACCAGTGAAGGCAAGAAAGAGGAAGAAACTAGTTTCAATTTGGGCATAGTACTATTTACATGCCAAGAGCTCACCTGGAAAGACCCAGAAAAACAATCACTCAACAATGATCACTTGTAACGGGTCAAGCACGATGCCACAGGTTAAGAAAAGAGGTGTTAAATGATAAAGCCGCTGACCTCGAAAAGCTGCAACGGAGATCAGAATTTTGGCAGAAAACTGGAAATAATAAAAAAGGAAAGAGAGAAAAAGAACAAATGGAAAGTCTACCACTAAAAAAAATTAGCAGATGGGTTTTAAGCAAATTAAAGAGCTGAAGAGAGAATTAGTGAATTGGAAAATATCAGAAGATACATTCAGAATGAAGCATGAAGAGACAAAGGGTTGGAACTCATTGGACAGAGGAAGAGAGGAAGGGAAATAGGGGAAAAGCAAACAGCAACTCCTGAGGCAAGAGGCCCAACACTGTGGTGTGTTCACACGAGTGGTCTGGAATGGCTGAGAGAAGGGTACACACAGAGAAGATGGGGTTGAAAAGAAAGGCCACATCTGCTAATAAAAGCAATAGTAGAAAATAATAGACAATAGTGACTGGGTGTCTACCATGTGTCAGGCACTGTTCAGAAATATTTTATATTATCTCCTTCAATCCTCACAATGTCCCTCTGAGGTAAACGCTACTACTGGCCCTTTTCACAGTGAAGAGACTGAAGCATAAAGAGATGAAGTAACAGGTGCAAGGTCACGTGCTTGGTAACAGGCAGGGCGGGGAGTCAAAGCCAGCTTGACGTTGGAGCAGATATGCACGGGCACGTTATCCATGGGCAATGGAGCCCAATGAGAGAGTCCAGGCAGGAAAGCAATGACCTCATTTCAAAAGTGAACATTTCATAGTTGCCCCCAAAATGCAGACCTCATCTTGTGCGCCTATCTCAGTGACTGGCCCAGAGCCTCATGGGGCTCGCTTTCAATCTGCTATCAAACCCTTCAACCCGCTGTTCAGAATGACAAGGTGAGCTTTCCAGAACACAAATCGAACTGTGTCATGCCCTGGCCTCATACACTAAAAGCCAAGGGATTATACACTTCAGATGGATGAAGTGTACGGGATGTGAATTATATCTCAATAAAGCTGCTACAGGAAAACTCCCTACACCTCATCCAGCCATCTCCTCTGAGCCTTCAAGATCCTAACAATGTGCCCTCCGAGAACTGCCCCCAGCCCCTCCCCACCCACCCTCTCTCTAAACTGCCTTGGATTCTCCTCTCACGTGCTCTCCTAACACTCTGATACTCGCTACAACAGTACTTACCAGGCTTATTATTACCTGCTTTTCCATCTTACCCACTGTGCACAAGAGTTAACACAGCAGGCTTGAGGCTGCGGTCCCTACAAGGGTCTACTTGCAAGGCTGGCCCTTGGCCGGCATCTGGAAATGTGGATTTCAGACATTTTCCCATCATGCCCTAGTTGATAAGGTTGATTTACTGTGTCTAGACTGTGCAAACAGCACGGTTTACGCTAAATACCTGCTGTGATGGACAAGTTTATGTGTCGACTTGACTGGGCCACACAGGGCTCAGATAGCTGGGGCAACATTATTTCTGGATGTGCCCGCGAGGCTGTTTCTGGAAGAGACTAGCATTTGAATCGGTGGGCTCAGTAAAATACACTGCCCTCCTCCATGTAGGCAGGCATCTCCCCCACGTAGGCGGGCATCTCCTCCACGTAGGCGGGCATCTCCCCCATGTAGGCAGGCATCATCCAATCCGTTGAGGGCCCAAATAGAACAAAAAGGAGGAGGAAAGGCAAATTTGCTCTCTCCGCTTGGGCTGAGACATCCACCTTCTGCCCTCGGACGTCTGGGCTCCTGATCCACGGGATGTGGCACTCAGAAAGACACTTACAGTATCACCCTCGGTTCTCAGGCCTTCGGGCTGGCACTGAATGCCAGCACCAGCTCTCCTGGGTCTCCAGCTCGCAGAGGGCAGGCGGTGGGACTTCTCAGTCTCCATAACCACACAAGCCAATTCCCGTAATCAGCCTCCTCTTCTGTCTGTCTATCTATCCTATTGGTTCTGTTTCTCTGGAGAACCCTGACTAATAAACTTGCTTTTCTGGGAGTCTGCAGTGTTGGTACCACCCAGGCGGAGGGGGCCTCCACGACCAGCCCCAGCGAAATCCTGGAGCACTCAGTCTCTGACGAGCTTCCCTGAACAGAAACATCGCACACCCCTTGCTGCACTGTCCTCGCTGAGGAGAGTGTGCTCTGTGTGGCCCTCGGGGGAGGGAGCGCACGATGAAGCCTGCACTGGGTTCCTGAAGACTCCGCCCGTGTCTTTTTCCCTTACAGTCTGGCTGTGTGCCCTCACTGCCACTGTCCCAAATTCCGGGCATGAGAAAGTACAACTGTATGCTGAGTCCTTCTAGTGATTGTCCGAACGGTGGGTTGCTCACGGGGACCCCCAACACACCCACTCTTCCACTAGCTCCTTAAAGCCTTTATCTTTTTACACCTAGAGACTAACACAGTGCCTGGCACATACATAGTAGGGCCTTCGATGACAACTTGGTGAATAAACAAATTCACAAGTTTATGAACAAATGAGCGTTTTAGAAAGATGGTGGAATTAAAGACGGTTTAGAGGCAGAGAGACTGGAGGAGAGAGCACGGTGTGGAGGCGCCGCACCTTTGGCTGACTGCACCCTCAGCAGGATGTCGGCGATGGCCGCCTTCTTCTCTCTGACGGTCGATGTCAGATATTCGTGGTCCAGGAGTTCAAGGAAGAGTCGAAGTTCAACTATTAACTCTTCCATTGCTGAAAACGAAGGAGAGAGGAAGGGTACTATTAGACACATCGCTTGCAAACTGCAAAATATGAACGCTAAGTTTTACTCAAAGCAATTCATTTTTAGCTTGATGACGGAATACAGTATTCCAGCATGAAAAACCAGGTCGAGTAACAGATTCACACATCCCTTCTAGGCCAATGTGCTGCTCCTTCACTTTTGCTCTGAGGCAACAATACCCAGCTGGGAGGAGCTCCAAAGCCAGGCTGCCAACAGAGGGAGTCGCGACCCAAAGCCTGGCGTCGCCATTTGGTGTCAACCGCATGATATGAATGTCAACGCTGAGGAGGAGACAGGCGTTTACAACGCCAAACAGTTTTCCAATAACCACCAGGACATGGTTGCAGAAACTCAACTCCCAGCGCTCTGCTTCTGTGGGGCTGGCTCCATCCCCAGGAAGACTGTGAGAACGTACATATGGTCACAACAAAGGATGCTGGATGCTGAGGACTCAGATGTCCATGGATGGATGGATGGATAAAGTGTGGTCTTACATACAGCGATACAGTATCCAGCCTACAAAGGAAGTAAGTTCTGACAGGTGCCACAGTGTGGATGAACCTTGAGGACATTATGCTCAGTGAAAGAAGCCAGACACAACAGGACAAATACTGTGTGACTCACTCATATGAGGCCCTAAAGGAGTCAAAACCATAGAGACAGACTGTAGAGTGGGGGGGCCCGGCGGGGGGAGTCCGGGGTGGGGACTCAGTGTTTAATGTGGACGGAGTTACAGTTCAGGAAGATTAAAGCTTTGGAGATGGATCGTGGTGATGGTTGCACGACAATGTGAATGCACTTAATGCCATTGAACTGTATATTCAAAAAGGGTTGAAATGGTAAAATCTATGCTATACATATTTTACCAGAGTTAAAAAGAAATCAACCTGGTCCCAAAATTGCAGGGCTGCTAAAAGCTATAAGCAAAATGTTAAACACGTTTATGGGTCTATGTTAAACTTCCAGCACCTCCATTTTCCATCTTCATTCGTATATTCTCTTATCAAAAATACCCCTCTTGCATGAGAGAGAAAGATAATCTGTGTATGACTCCACTCATATGAGGAATTTAAAACTATGGACCAAGAACAGTTCAGTGGATACCAGGGGAAGGTGGGGTGGGGGGGGGGCACAAAGGGTGAAGTGGTGCATCTACAACATGACTGACAAACATTAATGTACAATTGAAATTTCACAAGATTGTAACCTATCAATAACTCAATAAAAAAAAAAAGAAAAAAAAAATACCCCTCTTACATGAGGTCCTTCATCCCAGTGTGTCTAGTCTGGAAGCTCCACTGAGACCTGTCCACCACGGGGGACCCTGCTGCTATTTGAAATCCCAGTGGCACAGCCTTCAGCATCACAGCAACACACAGTCACCACAGGGGGACACCTGACCAGAGGAGCGGTGTGGTTCCCTGACGGGGAAACGGACGCAGGCCGGGCCAGTGAGAGTGCCGGATCTTAACGACAAGACCACCAGGGCTCCCTCTAGGGCATCACAATATCTGGAGAGGACTAAAGCTGCATCTGCCCTAACTCGTTTTAAACCTCGGCTCCCTGGACAGAGCTCCTGGCGAGGACATTACGCAGACCCCTCCAGGCCTGGGAGTTTGCCGTGTCGGGCGGGTTCCTGCCCAGCCCATCCTCCTCAGAGAGCAGCACCCTCAACCACACGGTGGACTCTTGGCAGCCACAGCGACACTACAGGGCCCTGCACTCCCCGCCCCCCCAACCCTGCTCCCAGGTTATAGTTAACGGACCACCCTACCCCAGGCTGGCCAATCAGGTTCTCTTTCCTCCAGAGTTTGCCTGGGGACTAGGAACTCTCTTAGTTGGCATCTCTTGATCTGAAGACACACAAAGTCAGGAGCTGTGGAGCAGCCGCGTTTAAGCGTGGGCGTGCCAGAGGAGGAAAGCCGTTAACAGAGGAAGAGAAAATGAAGTCAGCACACTCAGGAGCACAAGCAGATACACTGAGAGGCCAGGGAGCACGTGAGGGAGAGGAAGAGCCAGACAGCCAGCCACCGGCTGGACTCCTGAGAAGCCCCTGGACATGTTTTAATTACCTGTGGAACTGGGCTCCACTTGATTCCATGAGGTGTCTGCATCCCTCTGATAAATTTCCATTGCACTGTTTTTCATTTAGCTACTCTGTGTGGTTTTCTTTTCAGGTGAAATTACAACCAAAAGATTCTCAAAGCAAAGGTTGGCGGCCGGCCCCATGGTATAGTGGTTAAAATTTGGCATGCTCTGCTTCAGCGGCCTGGGTTCATGCGTTCAGATCTCAGGTGTGGACCTACACCACTCATCAGCCGTGCTCTGGAGGCATCCCACATATAAAGAGGAGGAAGACTGGCACAGATGTTAGCTCAGGGCTAGTCTTCCTCAAGCAAAACAAGAGGAAGATTGGCAAAGGATGTTAGCTCAAGACTAATCTTCCTCAGCAAAAATTAAAAAAAAAAAAAAAATCATAACTCTTTGCACCTCAGAATGCAAAACATTCCCAAATCAGACAGTTGTGATTGTTAGAAAAGTTCCTCCTTTTCAGGATTTTCACAGACTAAACAAACCATATTTTACCCTTATATATTTACCCTTTAAACAGTTAAAACAAACTCACATCCCCTTTCCCCTAGCCTTCTCTAACTAAACACCCCAACTGGCTCCTCCTCACGAAAGTCCTCCTTAATTACCAACATTCGCTCATCTTTTAGCAGCTATACCGATAACTGGATACTTAGTGATCTTAAGGTCTGTTTTTCTCTCTCAAAAGAGCTGGCCAGCTGGTTAAGAGCAGGTTGTACGCTTTGCTTATCTCTGACCACCTTACAACAAACAGCCTGGCGCACAGTCCACCGAGAAAGCACGCGAGCATTTTTGGGGAGTGAAGGAATGACGACTTATAAAGTAAGAGATTTAACATTTTCTGAGAAGCTATTACGTGAAAGGCATAGCGCTAGGCATCTACACACGACGTTTCATTTAATTCTCACAATAATGCTGCAAAGAGACCATCGTCCCCATAAACAGGGGGAAGAAAAAGCCGCTTACACAGCAACCCCCAGGATGGGGCGCTGTTGCAGCCCCTTCTATGTGTATGAATTTGCTTGTGTTCCCAACAACCCCGTGCGGTCTGTTGGTAATGACACTACATTCTACCACTCCACAGGTGAGGAAACTGAGGCACAGAGAGGCAGCCTAAGGTCACTAAGCAAATAAGTGGCTGAGCCTCTGCAGTTAGTAACTTGCTCACACGCCCAGAGCTAGACCATCACAGTAACAATCTGGACGCAGTCTGACTCCAAAGGCGCTGTTTGGCCATTTCATGATAACCGTCCACGGACGGTTTCTGAGATAACCCTGGCCTGGGGAGTTGCTAAGGCCATTTCTTTAAGGGCGATAGCATCAAATAACAACACTCATCCTAGAAAAAGTGAGGAAGATGAAGACAGTTTCACCAGAGTCTACACCGTGTCCTACAAAGTACCATAATTACGTAGGGCGCCGGCCAGCTCCCTGCTGGACAGCCAGACCCTGCCGTGCAGGTCCAGCGTCTCGGCCATCGCTGGGCTCCCTTCGGTGCCCAGGAGTTTCCAACATGAAGCACACACTCAGCAGAGGCCTGTTGAAGGAACAGGCACGAACTCCCATAGCTACTGGACGTGACGTTACCCAAGGCCCACCCGGACACCAAAGCAAGGAAGGAAGAAGTTCCCGCAGCCGGTTTTCAGTGTAAAGCTCTCACTAAGAGCGTGCCTTTTCCGTTAAGATCAACAGGTGGGAGCCAACAAGAGCTCCAGAGATTTCCATAAAAAGGAAGCTCTGAGGAAACCTGGGCACCTAAGCAGGGAGTGGCCTCTACAGCTTAAGTCTGCAGGATGTCGAGAAAGCATGAAGAGCCCATCACTTCCCTTGTGCCCCCCAGAACTGTCACTTTCTTACCAGCTGTCAGCCAGCTCTCTGCGGGACAGGCAGAGCAACCGGAGCCCAGGGCTTCAGCTGAGATTGGCACAGACGTATCGAGTGGCCTTCTCCATCCGATACCCGACTCACTGACGGGTACCGAGCGTCTCCACCACCTGACACACGCCCTCCCCCCACCAGCAGGGGCCACTCCTGCAGGGTCAGGGTGGACTCCCCCGTGCTCCTGACCTCCCCCAGCGCCACCCGTCCAGGTCTCCCTTCATGATACAGGCTTTCCCACTTTCCCTACAAGTACCACAGCCTCCATCACTCCTTACAGGGGCTTAAGAGAGAATTACAGCCACATCTAGTGCTCACCACGTGCCAGGCAACCTGCAAGGTGCTTCAGACACATGATGACTGACTTTCACAATAACTCTCAAGACAGGCATTATTATTACCATTTTACAGATGGAGAAGTTGAGCCTGAGAAAGGTTATATTCTTCCCTAAAGTCATATAATTTAAAAAAAAGAGTCAGAATGCAAATCAGAACCAGGTCTGGTTGGTTTTAATGTCTCTAGTTTTTTTTTTTTTTTTTTTTTTACAGGGGAAGATTTGCCCTGAGCTAACATCTGTTACCAATCTTCCTCTATTTTGTATGTGGGTCACCGCCACAGCATGGCCACTGCCAAGTGGTGTAGGCCCACGTCCAGGAACCAAACCTGGGCTGCTGAAGCGGAGCACACTGAACTTAACCACTAGGCCACGGCCTCTGTCTCTACTCTTTATACCATCTCTTTGACTGTAAAGTGCACTCATAGTGGACGTTAATGCCTCTTAGGTTACATTCCCCACAGTTTACATTGAAATAACTTGTTTCCCGTGACATGGAACCGGCTACCCACACAATTACATCCTCAAGGTCGTGGCTCAAATTGTGCTTTGCATTACTATTTTATTAATATTTCCTATATTAAAAAGCAGAATCTTACAACTGGAACCAGAGTTGTAGATAATTCATCCAACTCTCTCGATTTACTGATGGAAAAATGGAGGCT